ATTGGGCGGACAGGTTCTGAGCACCGAATTTCCCCTGCGATAATGAAGGAGCCAGGTTGCCCATTCTCTTTGATTATTTCGGTAAAGTCACGTCGGTATAAAAGATTAAATAAATGTAATCACGACGTTTCGGGCGCAACACAAGCGTCCGTCATCAGGTGGGACAACCGCAGCAAGAAGCGAGTGAAGTGGGAAAATTGTTTCTTGCTCTGGTTGTCGATGGCGCGAGGTCCTTGGCCGCAATCTTCCAGGGGGGCGTCCATAAATGACGTTTCGGGTGTTGCGCCCGAAACGTGATTTATTTTATTTTTCTACCCACGAGTATGGATTCCTGCAGTCACGAAAGCTTCAGACAAACGCGCATAATGTTCACCTTGTTTGCTTTGGTTGTCGTTGTTGATGTTGCAACGAAGGGAGGAGATCTGCGACGGAGTTGAAACGGTCGGCAACCACGCGCACGTGCAGCGCGCCCGTTGGATGTTTATATCTCCCGGCGCGGCAGTTGAAACGGAAGTGAAATTTTAACAAATATTTAAAAATTAGCTTTTTTTTTTGCCCGTCCAAGGAAGGGTTTTATATTGCAGTGGATCTGAAATATTAAATAGAAACATTGTTCAGCTCATGATTATTAATGAGGGGCGGGGGGGGTTGCCTCATGTGGAGTGACGTCACCCGATAATGGTTATTGGGGAGGGGTGCGGCATGTGGAGTGACGTCACCCGCTCATGATTATTCATGAGGGGGGGGGGTTGCCCCATGTGTAGTGACGTCACCCGCTGATGGTTATTGGGGAGGGGTGCGGCATGTGGAGTGACGTCACCCGCTCATGATTATTCATGAGGGGCGGGGGGGGGGTTGCCCCATGTGTAGTGACGTCACCCGCTGATGGTTATTGGGGAGGGGTGCGGCATGTGGAGTGACGTCACCCGCTCATGATTATTAATGAGGGGCGGGGGGGGGTTGCCCCATGTGGAGTAACGTCACCCGCTGATGGTTATTGGGGAGGGGTGCGGCATGTGGAGTGACGTCACCCGCTCATGATTATTCATGAAGGGGGGGGGGTTGCCCCATGTGTAGTGACGTCACCCGCTGATGGTTATTGGGGAGGGGTGCGGCATGTGGAGTGTGCGCCCAGCACGCTGTAGGTTCACTCTCCACCACAGCGGCACGTGCTGTACGAGTAACGAATTGGCCACGTTTCGTTCACGTGACAAACCCCTTATTAGTTGGCGGTGGCGGGTTTAACGACGCAACATTTATATATTTACGACATCTAACCCACACACAAAAAAACCCTCTTTAATGGATGGAAAAACGTGGTTCGCCCGGCCGCTGCGTGCCATGGGACAAAGTGTGGTTATTGCTCGCCTCTTCCGAGACCGCTGGTCGGCACGGAAGGAAGAGTAGGCCAAAGAGCGCCACCCACTTCTGCAACTCACCACCTTCTTCACCCGCGCTACGCCAGACGCGAGGGCAAGATGTGGGCCACGCGGTGACCGCGGTTGCCAATGTAGCAATTGCCCCACGGCTGCCGCTGATGTATGGGGGGAGGGGTTCATGCAGCAGTAGAGAGACCACGGGGGGAGGGGTTCATGCAGCAGTGGAGAGTCCACGGGTGGAGGGGTTCATGCAGCAGTGGAGCGACCACGGGGGGAGGGGTCCATGCAGCAGTGGAGCGACCACGGGGGGAGGGGTTCATGCAGCAGTAGAGAGTCCACGAGGGGAGGGGTTCATGCAGCAGTGGAGAGTCCACGAGGGGAGGGGTTCATGCAGCAGTGGAGAGTCCACGGGGGGAGGGGTCCATGCAGCAGTGGAGAGACCACGGGGGGAGGGGTTCATGCAGCAGTGGAGAGACCACGGGGGGAGGGGTTCATGCAGCAGTAGAGAGTCCACGGGGGGAGGGGTTCATGCAGCAGTAGAGAGACCACGGGGGGAGGGGTTCATGCAGCAGTGGAGCGACCACGGGGGGAGGGGTCCATGCAGCAGTAGAGAGACCACGGGGGGAGGGGTCCATGCAGCAGTAGAGAGTCCACGAGGGGAGGGGTTCATGCAGCAGTGGAGAGACCACGGGGGGAGGGGTCCATGCAGCAGTGGAGAGTCCACGAGGGGATGGGTCCATGCAGCAGTAGAGAGTCCACGGGGGGAGGGGTTCATGCAGCAGTGGAGAGTCCACGAGGGGAGGGGTTCATGCAGCAGTGGAGAGTCCACGGGGGGAGGGGTCCATGCAGCAGTGGAGAGTCCACGAGGGGAGGGGTTCATGCAGCAGTGGAGAGACCACGGGGGGAGGGGTCCATGCAGCAGTGGAGAGAACACGGGGGGAGGGGTCCATGCAGCAGTGGAGAGACCACGGGGGGAGGGGTCCATGCAGCAGTAGAGAGTCCACGGGGGGAGGGGTTCATGCAGCAGTGGAGAGACCACGGAGGGAGGGGTCCATGCAGCAGTGGAGAGACCACGGGGGGAGGGGTCCATGCAGCAGTAGAGAGAACACGGGGGGAGGGGTTCATGCAGCAGTGGAGAGACCACGGGGGGAGGGGTTCATGCAGCAGTGGAGAGACCACGGGGGGAGGGGTCCATGCAGCAGTAGAGAGAACACGGGGGGAGGGGTTCATGCAGCAGTGGAGAGACCACGGGGGGAGGGGTCCATGCAGCAGTGGAGAGACCACGGGGGGAGGGGTCCATGCAGCAGTAGAGAGAACACGGGGGGAGGGGTTCATGCAGCAGTGGAGAGACCACGGGGGGAGGGGTCCATGCAGCAGTAGAGAGACCACGGGGGGAGGGGTTCATGCAGCAGTAGAGAGACCACGGGGGGAGGGGTTCATGCAGCAGTAGAGAGAACACGGGGGGAGGGGTTCATGCAGCAGTAGAGAGAACACAGGGGGAGGGGTCCATGCAGCAGTGGAGAGAACACGGGGGGAGGGGTCCATGCAGCAGTAGAGAGACCACGGGGGGAGGGGTTCATGCAGCAGTAGAGAGAACACAGGGGGAGGGGTCCATGCAGCAGTGGAGAGAACACGGGGGGAGGGGTTCATGCAGCAGTGGAGAGACCACGGGGGGAGGGGTTCATGCAGCAGTGGAGAGACCACGGGGGGAGGGGTCCATGCAGCAGTAGAGAGACCACGGGGGGGGGGGTCATGCAGCAGTAGAGAGACCACGGGGGGAGGGGTTCATGCAGCAGTAGAGAGACCACGGGGGGAGGGGTTCATGCAGCAGTAGAGAGAACACAGGGGGAGGGGTCCATGCAGCAGTGGAGAGAACACGGGGGGAGGGGTTCATGCAGCAGTGGAGAGACCACGGGGGGAGGGGTCCATGCAGCAGTAGAGAGACCACGTGGGGAGGGGTTCATGCAGCAGTAGAGAGACCACGGGGGGAGGGGTTCATGCAGCAGTAGAGAGACCACGGGGGGAGGGGTTCATGCAGCAGTAGAGAGACCACGGGGGGAGGGGTCCATGCAGCAGTAGAGAGACCACGGGGGGAGGGGTTCATGCAGCAGTAGAGAGACCACGGGGGGAGGGGTTCATGCAGCAGTAGAGAGACCACGGGGGGAGGGGTTCATGCAGCAGTAGAGAGACCACGGGGGGAGGGGTTCATGCAGCAGTAGAGAGACCACGGGGGGAGGGGTCCATGCAGCAGTAGAGAGACCACGGGGGGAGGGGTTCATGCAGCAGTAGAGAGACCACGGGGGGAGGGGTTCATGCAGCAGTAGAGAGACCACGGGGGGAGGGGTTCATGCAGCAGTAGAGAGAACACAGGGGGAGGGGTCCATGCAGCAGTGGAGAGAACACGGGGGGAGGGGTTCATGCAGCAGTAGAGAGACCACGGGGGGAGGGGTTCATGCAGCAGTAGAGAGAACACAGGGGGAGGGGTCCATGCAGCAGTGGAGAGAACACGGGGGGAGGGGTCCATGCAGCAGTAGAGAGACCACGGGGGGAGGGGTCCATGCAGCAGTAGAGAGAACACAGGGGGAGGGGTTCATGCAGCAGTGGAGAGACCACGGGGGGAGGGGTTCATGCAGCAGTAGAGAGACCACGGGGGGAGGGGTCCATGCAGCAGTAGAGAGAACACAGGGGGAGGGGTTCATGCAGCAGTGGAGAGAACACGGGGGGAGGGGTCCATGCAGCAGTAGAGAGACCACGGGGGGAGGGGTCCATGCAGCAGTAGAGAGAACACAGGGGGAGGGGTTCATGCAGCAGTGGAGAGACCACGGGGGAAGGGGTCCATGCAGCAGTAGAGAGACCACGGGGGGGGGGGTTCATGCAGCAGTAGAGAGACCACGGTGGGAGGGGTTCATGCAGCAGTAGAGAGAACACAGGGGGAGGGGTCCATGCAGCAGTGGAGAGAACACGGGGGGAGGGGTTCATGCAGCAGTAGAGAGACCACGGGGGGAGGGGTTCATGCAGCAGTAGAGAGAACACAGGGGGAGGGGTCCATGCAGCAGTGGAGAGAACACGGGGGGAGGGGTCCATGCAGCAGTAGAGAGACCACGGGGGGAGGGGTCCATGCAGCAGTAGAGAGAACACAGGGGGAGGGGTTCATGCAGCAGTGGAGAGACCACGGGGGGAGGGGTTCATGCAGCAGTAGAGAGACCACGGGGGGAGGGGTCCATGCAGCAGTAGAGAGAACACAGGGGGAGGGGTTCATGCAGCAGTGGAGAGAACACGGGGGGAGGGGTCCATGCAGCAGTAGAGAGACCACGGGGGGAGGGGTCCATGCAGCAGTAGAGAGAACACAGGGGGAGGGGTTCATGCAGCAGTGGAGAGACCACGGGGGGAGGGGCCCATGCAGCAGTGGAGAGAACACGGGGGGAGGGGTTCATGCAGCAGTAGAGAGAACACGGGGGGAGGCTGCCGCTGATGGTGTTTGGCTATTGGCGCTGCACCGACATCACCACGGACGCGTCCCCTTTAAAAAACCGACCCTCGCCGACTTGCCGTGCCACATCTGTGCCCCTCCCGCTAAATAAGCCCTCGCTCGCGTCAAGCGCGCATGCGCAAGCCAGCCCTCGCGAGTGCACGCGGGGCCCCGCGAGGACGTGGAGGAGGAGGGGGGTCCAAATTTAGCAACGGGGAAGAGGCGAGTGGTAAGCGATTCGTGCGGCGCGACTTCGAGGCTCTGAGGCGAACAGGGAGCAGGTGAGAGACATCGCCATCAAACTTGCACTCGTACGCGTCTGCGCCGCCTCGAGAGCGATCGGAGGCAAGCCGCTGGTCGCCACGCGTACGTGTTTAACTTTATTTATTAAAATTATCGCTATCCCCTCATGCCGGGGGGCGGGGAGGTTTCAATTGGCACGGCGTCGTCTTATTGTTTCACGTCGCGCTCGTGTCCGCCGTGAGGGTTTTATTCTGAATTCGTAATTTCTTACGGTTTTAAAACGCGCGCATCGCAGCTGCGACATCGCAGGGTTGTGTGCTGTAAAACACACACATTTGTGTTTGCTTTAAACGTTGATATGTTGAAGAAATAATCATCTTTATAAAAAAAATCGCCTGGCGCCGAGGTAGGCCCAAGGCATGGAATTGCGAACATTGAATATTGTGCGTGACACGGATGGGTGGGAAGAACTTGGCCCCGGCCATAGCAATGTGGAATACACACACCGCACACACACCACACACAGCACACATAGCACACCACACACACAGAGCACACACACACAGCACACACATACACATCACACACACAGCACACACCACACACACAGAGCACATACACACAGCACACACACAGCACACACATACACATCACACGCAGCACACACACAGCACACGCACACACACAGCACACACACACATCACACACACAGCACACACACCACACACACACAGCACACACACCACACACACACAGCACACACAGAGCACACAGAGCACACGCACACACAGCACACACGCAGCACGCACACAGCACACGCACACACAGCACACACACAGCACACGCACACACAGCACACACACATCACACACACAGCACACACACAGCACACACACACACAGAGCACACACACAGCACACACAGAGCACACACACAGCACACACCACACACACACAGCACACACAGCACACACAGAGCACACGAACCACACACAGCACACACATCACGTACATTGCGTGGCTATAATTGTGTCGCGTGTGAGGGGATGAAGGCGCACGGCTGCGTTGTGATGATGCTGAGAACCCGTGGTGATGATGATGATGGGAACCCGTGATGATGATGGGAACCCGTGATGATGATGAGTGGTGATGATGGAACCGTGATGACGATGATGAGAGCCCGTGATGCTGATGATGAGAGCCCGTGATGCTGATGATGAGAGCCCGTGATGCTGATGATGAGAGCCCGTGAAGCTGATGATGAGAACCCGTGATGCTGATGATGAGAGCCCGTGATGCTGATGATGAGAGCCCGTGATGATGATGATGAGAACCCGTGATGATGATGATGAGAGCCCGTGATGCTGATGATGAGAACCCGTGATGCTGATGATGAGAGCCCGTGATGCTGATGATGAGAACCCGTGATGATGATGAGAATTGTGGTGATGATGAGAATTGTGGTGATGATGAGAATTGTGGTGATGATGAGAACCCGTGATGATGATGAGAATTGTGGTGATGATGAGAACCCGTGATGCTGATGATGAGAGCCCGCGATGCTGATGATGAGAGCCCGAGTTCTTGTCCCCGGCCAAGAGGCGTCGCCTTAAACCAGTCCGCCGCTGGGTTCGACTCCACTGGCCCACAGCACCGTGGAATTTCCATTCGTTAAGAAGAATCATGATGCAATGTTGTTGTTGTTGTGCGGTGGGAGCGGTGGCGCAGCGGTGAGCGCACGCGCTGCGCCCTGAACGTCGGCCGCCTGAGTTCGAATCCCGGCTGCGGCGAACATTGGTGGGTGATGGAACGTTTCTGGTAACAGCACACACCGGTAGTGTGTTGGAGGGCAAAGCCACGACAATCTGAGACGTTTCGCCAGTAATTACAACTAGTTCCATCAACTAGCCTGAACTAGTTGTAATTATAATTAGGCGATGCTAGTTGTAATTACTGGCGAAACGTAGTAGTACTCAGATTGTAAATGTTGTGGCTTTGCTCTCCAACACACCGGCGTTGCTGTACTCGTTACGAACTGGCATGTTACCGAAATAACCAAAGAGTATGGATTCTTGCAGTCACGAAAGCTTCAAATCAAGATTGGCATGTTCTGTTTACGTGACAAACCTTACGAATTGGCCGTGTCGGGTGGTGCCGGGTTTAACGACACATTTATATATTTACGCGATCTAACCCAAAAACTAACTGCATGGATGATATTGGTCGCGGGAGCTTCCGTGTTAAATATCGGTGGGTAGTGTTTAGCTGAACCAAGACTGGTTTGGGGTCTCCCCTTCACCAATCCGCATAGGCGGGAATGGTCGGGGCCCAGGGAAAATCCCAATGTGTGCCCCCCCCCTACACCCCCAGACGCCTTAAAACTAAACCGCAATTATTACATCTGCTGACACTGGCGTTGAAAGCGTGCCGCCCCCCCAAGCACGGGGCCCAGGGCGGTCGCGCCGCGTACCCTCGGGACGGCTCTTGTCAACTCGCGTTGGTCGGCGTGGTACATGAAGCATTTGGTCAAATAGTGGCCGACACTGGTGCGTGGGTTGTATCTTTGTTTTGTTTAATACAGCGGTGGATTGAACATGGTCGGAATGTATTCCATGGTGTAATGTGGGCCCTTAGCCACGGTGTATTCTGGACTTGCAATCGAGAGGTTGCCAGTTTGATCTCCCGGCGCGGCATCTGAAACAATACTGAAGTTTATTATCTCTTCCCCCCCCCCCCCACACGCTTCAGTCCTCCCAGCAATATGAATGGGTTCACCACAGGCGGTCGGCAGGTGGCGTGTGGTGGGTCAAAGTGTGGGTATCCTTCCCTCTTTCAACATGAGTCACGAGGTGCGGGATGGCCTCCACTCTACGGCATGAGGGTAGCACAGTGGCACACTGGTGCCTCGCAGCAGGATACACCTGCGTTAGATTCCCAACTCTGGCACCCTTTCTGTGTGCAATTTCCAGAGGTGTGGACTCGAGTCATGTGACTTGGACTCGAGTCAGACTCGAGTCATGAATTTGATGACTTCAGACTCGACTTGGACTTGCATAACAATGACTTTGTCCCACCTCTGAGGTGTGGACTCGAGTCATGTGACTTGGACTCGAGTCAGACTCGAGTCATGAATTTGATGACTTCAGACTCGACTTGGACTTGCATAACAATGACTTTGTCCCACCTCTGGCAATTTCTATCTTCTCCCCGTATTCTGCATGGGGTTTTGTCTCCAGGGTTCTCCGGTTTCCTCTGATAGTGAAACACATGCAATGTCATTGGTGTGGGCCATACATCCCAATGCATGACCTTCCTACAACCAAAACATCTCTGACTCGCTGAAACTTTCCTGAGTTAAAAAGTTATTATCTAGCAGTGGATAGATAATGGTTGATGAAGATGGAGCCTAGGTCTGGCGATGGCCGAACTTGTACCGTGGATCGAATTTTCACATCGGCACTGCTGCATCGTTTGGGTTGTGTCTTAAGTTTTACCCACAAGGCGACAGGTTCTGTATTCGGTTTTCACTCCGTCTCGTGGTACATTAGTCCATGACTCGAGAGGCTTTCCTGACCAGAAGGCCCTCCACAGTCGTACTCTATCTCACAAGGATGTATGGTCAAACTGCTGTGTGCAACTGGGTATTTATAGGCTTCTGCATGGCCAGGTTGTGGGCGAACGTAGAAAACACACGGCAGCCTAGGTCAGCGGGTGGCTGTTGGACTGTACTGTTGTGCTCCTCATCTATGCGCCTCACCCTCCACGGTGGGGGGGAGGAGGCCTTCATCCAGCATTTGATTGTCAAATGTGTCATACATGCACCTGGGGTTCAATTTCAGAAGATGAATAAGAACAACATTGCATCAACATTATTTTGAAGTGCTTTTGTAAATGTTGTTTTCTCAGTGCAAACTCACGAAAGAAGTTGAAAATATGACATTTTCAATTTAAACACCAATGTGAATTCATTGGTGATATACTACTCCGGGTGATCCATTTAAAGATACCCCACTGATTTTTAATTACCCTCTTTCGAATGACCTCGGCTCTCGCATCATGGAATGTTCTGAGTGCATCAGACCGGTTAAGTTGGACAAAATGTTTCGGGAAGGAGTTAATCAGTGCATTTAGATTATAGTGGGCAATGTCTGGAAGTTTCGATTTAAAGCTTCCGTGACTGCAGCAGGGATTCATATTCTTGGTTCTTTCGGTAAAGTTTTCTTGCTGTGGGTTTCACACCTGATGATGATTGCTTGTGTTGCCATCGAAACGTCGTGAGAATTGTATTGTTTTATTTTTATTATTTTATTATTTCCCTTCTACGTGACTTGACCGAAAGAACCAAAGAATATAATGTCTGGAAGCTTTAAATAAAAATGTGGATTTCTCACTTAATGTCTCTCATCCAGCGGTGGATTGACAAAGGACCGCATGTACGTTTCACCTCGCGCCGCGCCTGCCAAAAGAGAGCTACCAAACACTGTACAAGAAAATCACAGTGTACCGTCACATGGAACGGTGGCAAGGGTCTGTATTTTCCTTAGTAATCGAGTAATGTCTCCTGACGTAATAGTAATCGTGTGCTGGTTGCAGCCTCGAATGCATAGCTGTTGACAACCCTGGTGTGTCCACTCTGCAATGGTAAAGGTGCAGCCCTGCAATTGCTTCGTTGCACGCCTACAGCTGGCAGAAGGGCCTCCATTAGGGGGAGCTCTGGAGGGCCCTCTCTTAATGATTATTTGAGGGTGTTGACCCCTTTCACTCGGCAACACTCTCCAATACTGATGGGACAGATCAACTTCGTCCAAATGTGTTGCGCTGCTTTCTTCAAAGCCAGGATTTGTCCCGTCGATACCCACAGGGGAAAGGATTTTCGCAACATACACGCGGGTCCACCAAGCCTCGCCTTCACAGTGCTGGATTGCAGGCCGCACGCATAGCGTACGCATCTGTGCATCAAGTTGTAAATGTTGTGGATTTACTCTCCAACACACCGGTAGGCTGAATTTGTAACTAATTGGCACGTTTTGTTTACGTGA